AGTTAGTGTACTGCAAATAACTATTCTATCAACAAGATAATGTGTGTTTTTACAAGTGTTTTTTTTATATATCAATCCAATGGCATCTAACCTAAAATTCAGCAGTGTCTGTGTAATGTAATACACCCTTACTTCTCAATGGTCAAAATAACTATACCACATTGTGTATAATAATATATGGACTGATTCAAAAATATATTGAATTTATAAGTGTTGAACTGGTGAATATTGATGTAAAGATTATGCCAAGTATACAATGGCACAAGGATTTTCATGTTATCAGCATGATTAAGTCGTGAGATTGTGCAAATAATCAGTGTAAATCTCTTAGAGATATCCTCAGTAGCTAAATTTTAAGGTGAAATGACTATGGTAAAGCTATTCAAGGCAAAAAAGCAATGGATCTGTCAACCTCGTTGTCAACAGTAAATTTAGCTAACTTTATGATCCATTTATTGCCGTATTTTAGCTGAGAATTCATTTAAGACAATGCAATACGATAGACTTACCTTTGAATTTATCATATATTGTTTTAGAATGGTCACCAATGCTCTAAAACTCGATTGGTATCGTTTTAACTTTCTCACTCCTTAATGTTTACATGTAAATTTGTCAAATTACACTTGTTCAGGGCACTGGAAACGAGACACGGCCAAGATGCGACATGCGCGGGGACATCAACATCAAAGATTCCGACATCGAGTGAGACTTCTGGTCTTATTATTTATTTTGTGGTATGGTATTGGATCTCTCCAAAAAGATGGAAAATTATAACTGCTGATATAATCGAGCCTTTTAAACAGTGGCCTTTTCTACGCAGAAAAGGACATGGTATAGATGTTTTGGAGTTGAGGCAACGTTCGTTGAATTTTTTGGCTGCGTTCCTAAATTAGCTTTGATTTGTACAGTTGGAATATAACACGCTTTGGGGTCGGACCGGTCGGTAGAATTACTAGCTTCGGTGATTTCAATTGATTCGGTGGTATTTGTTTGTAAGGGGGTGTCATTCACTTTAGGGTCAGTAGAATTTATTGCTTCAATAATTTAAATTGTTTCTATTGAATTATGGTTGTTGGATGATTCTTGCATATTAAATTCTTGAAGTGACTCTTGTAAATAACGTTTCCTCGTAGTTTTAGACTTATTTCCTCGATTTATTTTAACGTGCATATCCTCTTGAAAATGAGTAAACGTCTCGGCGATATGACTAACAGCTTTTGATAATGACTGAATTGCTTCGCTAGTAACTTTTAGACTAGATTTAAGACCCTCAATATCATGGCAAGTATCTTTACATTTACATAGACAAGATTGCGAAATGTTCGACTCTGTCTGGCATGAACAATCTGAGATAATCATGTTATTAGTTTTACTTACGGCATTTAAATATTCACAGATTTTAGTGCAGAGTAGCTGTGTGATTTTTCCGGCGTCGGTACCCTTTAGATGCAGTAAACTTTTACTCTTTCGCCACGAGATCGAAGTGTCATTTGTCCTGAATACTTTCTTATCGCCGCCCGGTTGCTCCCAAATTCCAGTTAACTTTAAATCTTCGCTCAATAATTTCTTTAATGCCTCATACTCTCCTGTCCAAGCAAGACATATGTGGTACGGCGAAGGCATAACTCACGTTGAACTAGATTAACTAAAGTTTGTCTTTCCAAAATACAGAGAGCAAAAATTACACGTCTGCTCACTGACAGAGACGGTGATGTTTTTAAAGGATTAGTGTCAGGGTCATGCATTGCGGGCTTTTGTTATTGTTTACATTTTACTCAAATACAACAAAATTAATAGCGATAAAAATACCTTGTTCGGCACATTTCTGATACAAATCAAACAAAAAGAGCAAGGATTATGAAAGGATGGTTTAAATATATGACGGATTGTAAAAATTTTCCAGATCATCTGATCTATTCGTCCCGAAAAATGCCGCCAGCAGGAGTTTGAGCCTGCGAATTCCTGGTGTGACACTAATCCTTTAATAATTTAATTGTTGTTGTGCCGGTTTGGGTAAGTGTAAATATTTGAGTAGTAAAATTCCATTCCGTACTTGCTTTGTGTTGTCGATTTTATTCGTATCTGTGAAATTTTCAAGCCATTCTTAACTCGATAATTCACAATAATATATAATGTGTTTTAATTCAAGCTGTGAAGCTGGTATACATAAAATTGCAGGGAATCTTACAATCGTTCATTAAGCTAGCGCATCAGTTGTGTTTTTATGTTTGTTTATAATGGTCTATACACAGTAAAATTCAAAGGGTAGAAGTTACTCCAAAAAGTTGGGTAAAATTTTGTCCTAAAAACGCCCTGGTTTTTTGGGGTAACTTTCAGTAGGGAGTAAATTCTACTCCAAAAATTTAGGGGCAAATTTTACTCCAAAAACGAGGGTAACTAATTTGTCCTAAAAATTACCCCAGTTTAGAGGGTAAAAATACAGCTAGAGTAAAATTTGCCCAACATGGAATGGTGTAATTTCTACTCCATGCACGAAGAGATTCTTTCACAATTCACGCTACAATAGCACTTTCGACTTGCAAATTTAAGCATAATTCCTTGATACGCCGCATGGTTGCTGCATGATTGTCTCCAACAATTAGGATGCCTTTCACAATTATAGATATACAAATAATTAAAACATAAACATATTTATTATAAATTTTATTAATCACGTTTCACAAAGTATTTGTTTCATCTTGTTTTTATACAC